GAATTCGGCTCCTCCGATGAATAGACCTTCGGCGAGAGCCCACGATCCCCCGGCGCCTGATAGGGCACTCTTGATTTCCTCAGCCTCCGTGTACTGTTGCTGCACGTCAACTGCGTGCATTTGGAAAAGAATGGTAGTGAGAACGACTGCCTCTCGCTTGAACAAACGGTCTATGACGCCCTGGCCCACCGGGTCTCCCCTCATGGCTGCGAACAGACAGACAGAAATTTCTTTGTACTTTTCTGAACTTTGACTGCCCTTGTTGCTATATCCCTGCATCATGGTCATACATTGCATGACTACAATAGAATATCATGGCCCCCAACCCATGCTCGTTACTCCTGTTTATATTCTTTATTATTTAGTGTTCATCATACCGATTGTTTTTGACCTGAACATCTGAAAGCCACGCGCCCCGCGTCTGGCCAAGCGGAATACAGGCTTGATCGCGCTGACGGCTGCTTGTATGATTCTTGTTTTGCAGATAATACCGATGAGTAGCGCAAATATGCCCTTGAAGTTTATCAGCGATTGCTGGAACACCAGGAAGTATGAACGCACGAGCCCCTTCATAATGCTCCCAAGGATACCCCCGGGGTATACCACAGTGTAAGGCGCAACGGTGTTCACACGGTAGGCGAAGGAGAAGCAGCTGCTTTTCACTTCACTCGTGAACAAACCCGAAACACCACCAATCACCTCTTCGAACCCGTGAATGACCGTGTTACGCAGAGTCATGAGAGGGTGGTTGAACAGACTCTCAGTCCAGGAATACAGAGGGAGTGCTGCAAAACACCAACACACCACTTAACAAACACTTCCTCCCATACATATATCCCTTTCCAGAAGGTCACCAACTGCTCAGCAACTACCTCCTCTCGTCTTTGCAACATGTGGTGCACCCTTCCTAATTCAGGTGCTTGGGGAACCCGAGCACTCGCAGGGATCGGCGAGCCTCCCTTCGGCAACCAAGGGGCCCAGGAGACCCTTGCAGGGGAGAGGTGTCAGTGGTTTCTGGTTGGGTGTGCGGGCAGTGTGCAGAACTCTTAGACCCTCACTTTTTGAAGCCATAATCAGTTCAAGCGCCGCGGTTCCCGCTTTAGCCTGTTGCAGGGCCTGAGTCAACGCTCCGAAGTGTTTCTGGTAGTTTCGGCGGCCAGAGCCCAAGAGACGAGACCGCAGAGGGAAAACCCGAGAAAGCGACTCCTTAGCAAGCAGCTTCGCTGCGCTTGATGGCTTCGCTGCATCCGAAAACGCATTGAAAAAGGAACACGTTTGCCTCTCCGCAACTGCTTTTCATGTTGCTGCGGCAGCTGCTGCTGCGCTGAGGGCTCTAACAAAGGCTGCAGCAGATCT